AATACACCACTGGATACCTTTGAGAACATGGTTCGAACATGGGGATGAACATAATTATTGTCAGCAATGTGTTTTTGAGAAAGGCAGAACAAGAAGAGGTCAGAGGATAATAGGGTGAGAGAATGAAGGATGTGGAGATGGAGGAATTCTGCTTGATAACATGTCTGTAACAGTCACAGATTGTTCGTAATCAAAGATTATGATTAGTCCGTCACAGACAGCATTGTCAAATATGAAATAAAGGATTCCTTCAGACAAACTACAGAAAATAGTGTTTTCCAGTGTGCAGGTGGTAGACACAGAGCATCAGGAAAATGAATCTAAAAACATTTTTAATAATCTTCAATTCTTATTGAAATAGGGTAGGAATTCTTGGGTTTATTATTTTTAATGAAAGGCAGTGAATATTCTTGTCATTTTACCAGAGATAAAGTTCTTTTCATTTTTTTCAGTAGGAAGTGGCTCTGTAATTTGTTTTCCCCCCATATTTCAGGGGACAAGATCAAAGAAATCCAGCAGGTTTTGGAAAGTCATTTACCAAACTTGAAACTTTTAATTGTCAAGAGAAAGAAGTAAATTGCCCTTAGGTATGCTTTTTTTTAAAAAAGTAGTATTGCAGAACTACAAAATCATGTAGTAGTTGAGTCTGGAAGGCACCTCCCAAGGTCTGTAGTCCTAGCTCCTGCAGAGCAGGGTCAGCTAGAGCAGGTTGCTCAGGGTTGTGTCCAGTCAGGTTATGAAAATCTCCCATGATGGAGACTCCACAGACTCTCCGGGCAACTTGATCCAGTGTTTGATCACACTCACTGTAAAAAAAGCTTTTTCTTATGTTTAAATGGAATTTTCTGTTTCAGTTTGTGCCCATTGCCTCTTGTCCTGCTACTGGGCACTACTGAAAAGAGCCTGACTCTGTCCTCTCTACTCAGGTAAATCCATGTATCCCATTCTCTTCTCCAGGGTGAACAGTCCTAGCTCTCTCTCAGCCTCTCCTCATATGTTGAATGCTCCAACCACACAATCATTTTCATGGCCCTCCTTTGAATTCACTCTGGTATGTCCATGTCTCTCTTGTGCTGGGGAGCTCTGCACTTGGATCCAGCACTCCAGGTGTGTCTCACCAGTGCTGAGCAGAGGATAAGGATCACCTCCATCAACTTGCTGGAAACATTCTTCCCAATGCAGCCCAGGATGATGTTGGCCTTCCTTGCCACAAGGGCACATTGCTGGCTCACATTCGGCTAGCTGTCCACCAGGACCCCCTTGTCCTTCTCTGCAGAGTTGCTTTCCAGCCAGTCACAGAATCACAGAATCACAGTCAACCCACAGCCTTTGCTGATGCTAGAGGTTATTCCTCTGCAGATGCAGGACTTGGTATTTCCCTGTGCTGAATTTCATGAGGTTCCTTTTGGCCTCTTTCTCCAGCCTGTCAAGGTCCCTCTGGATAGTGGCACAACCATCAGTGGACCAGTCACTCCTCCCAGTTTTGTATCATCTGCAAAGCTGCAAAAAGGAAGATAGACATATACAGTAAGCAGTAACAATACAGTGAGGTTTTCAAGCAAGAAGACTCCACAGTTTTTAATCAGTAGGTATCGGTCTGAGAAATGACCCTTATATTTTAAGAGAGCTATGAAGTTTCCTTTGTTACACAAACAAAACAAGCAATGCCAAAGTCGTGAGGTTACAAACTATCAGATGGGTCCTCTTGGGCTAACACCAGAGCGAAATGTGTCTTGAACATTAGCACATAGGCCTTACACAGTGATTTAAGTAATTAAGGAACCATATGGTTACATATCTGTAGCTGTAGGCACAGCCTGAGGTGTTTTTTAAGCTCTAAAAAATATTTGCCTTCTAGAATGCCAGACATAAGATACTGGATAAATGATGAGAAGGAAGAAAAAGGTAAATACACTGGGGAATATGCCTTACTGAGGAACTTCGTTTGAATGGAGTCTTTTTTTATCAAGCCTTGCAAAAACAGAATATATAAAAAATAGGAACATAAGAATTTATTCATATTAAGAGTCATGTACAATGAAAAGTGTTAGAGGTCTGCACATCCCTGGCAGATTTAATGAAAACCAGACCTGTGAAGCCCTAAGTCTCAGGCGCTGAGGTAGCAATGTGCCTAGAAAAGCAGAAGGATGATCTTTATGCTGCTTGTGCTCATGTGTGCATGTACTAGGAATTTGCTTCATCTGATGAGTGAGTTTAGAAAACTGGGAGGCATGCACTTCCTTTCTCCCTGCCTCTGCTAGACAATCTCTGCTACTTACCTTTTTGTATATGAGCGTTACATGAATGCAAATATGAATCAAGCCACTTAACCCTCTTGTCAGAGCTGGAGCAGTATGCTCAGCAATAATTGGTTCTGCCCTAAAATCAAAAGCTCTCCAGCATTCAGACTCACTAATTTGTCTTGATATCCAGCCAAATGAGCACCAATAAAAAAAAAATTAAGAGGAGTTTGGAGAGTTAGGCTAGTGCTGCAAGACTGAATGCAAAAGGGGACATTGCTACTTGAAGGTTTTATTACTCTGGATTCTGACCGTGGAACAGTCACCGTAAATTTGGATAGCCCTATAAATTAGAAACCAGAGCTAACATAGTGTTTAACTAGTTGCTGTCATACAGAGTCTGGTTTATTTCTTCAGTATTCTTTTTTAGAAGACATTATATAGTAATATTGAAGTGATGGATCAAAATCATGTTGTTTTATTCCAGTGGCCTTTTTCTGACAGTTGTCAGGATCAGAGCCTTGAAGGAAGATGTGGGAACTGTGTAGTGAATAAAGAAGATCACTAAGAAGGTCTCCTAATCCTAGATAGTATGACCTTGGTTTAAGATGTGCATCCTGACAATTTAGATTCTACAAAGAGTTTTAGCATTAACTACATAAATTTTCATGATATAAAGATGGAATTCCACTTTGAGTCTGTCTAAATTCTTAGCATAGCCTAAATCCTTTGGCAGTGAGAACCCAGTACTTTCATTGATTATTTTGAAATGGGACAGCTGCAAATTTCACAGAACATCTTGAAGTTTAATACTGTTTTCTTACTGGTACGGATAAAGGAGGAAAAACTTATTACACCTTCCTTAGCTTACCTTTGTTTTGTATACTTTTATTGTGCCTCTTTCTCTTTAATACCTCATTCAGAAAAGAATTTTGTCATCAGTCTCTCTCATCAATCTTAAATTCTGAGCTTTTCCTTGTCCTTAATTTCTGGTTATTTTCTTCTGTGAACTATTTTTAATTGCGCAATACATTCTTTTAAAATGACTTTACAAGTATTGCCTTTCAGGTTTTGCCGTGAAGTATCACTACCTGTTTATATACTTACTTTTTAATATTATCCATTTAATCCTATAGACTGCCTGCTGTCTTTGTATCTTACTCTTACAGATGTGCATTAAATGTTAGTCTTTTCATAAGTATGCAGTGAAGGTTATGGTATGAATAACTAAGTCCTTAGACCCTAGTTCATTTTGGTTTTTTTTCTCTAATGTTCATTGTACTGCAAATATTTTTGCAGAATTTGAAGTTGCATCTTGTTTCCTGTTCATCCAACTTGGTGTGAAGTCCATTATCTTTTCTTCTGAATTTGATCAGCCTGTGATACTTTGTGTCATGTGTGGATTTTTCAATTCCACAGCTCACTTCCGTTCCAAAATTGAAGTAAATATATTAAAATAACAAGGGACTTAATACAGAGTAACATCAAGGTGGCTTACTATTGACTTTTTTGCAAAGTGTTGTAGGCTGTTGGTTTTATCTCTTTGTTTCCTGCCTGTTAGTCAGATTTTGATTCATGACAACCTTTTGTCTTCTAAGCCATGATTAATGTTCCAGAAACTTTTCCTGAAGGTCCTTGTCAAAGATCTTTCAAAGGTTTAAATCTAGATACAGCCTCTAAAACAAACAACAGTGGATATTTTAGTAAGAATTTCTTCCC